GCCCCATATGCCGGAGGTGGTGGGTTCAAACCCAGCCCCGGCCAAAAACTGAAAAAAAAAAAAAAAAAAGGTAAAACCTCTTTGTTTAAAATTTGCTTTCAGTAAAAGTCAGCACTCTTTTTTTCAGCTTAAGACATTTTGGAGTTAAGAAACAGAGAACTATACCTATCTGACCCAAAGAAGAATACTTACATCATGGGGTGAAGGAGACTTCATTTGTCACTGCCATAAAATAAATGTGCTGTTTACATATTTGTCAATTTTTCATTCATTAACAAAATTCTCATGGTCTTACATTTGTATGTTCAGTAACATTTAAGATAACAGATCTCTCATGTGAATCAAAGACGCACAAAGACATGTTTTCCAGCGTTTGGAAGCTTATCAATAGTAAGGGGCGGGGGAATCCAAAATTTCACACATCCAGAATACCAGAAGTAAAGCAGAAATACAAAAATGTAAAACTATGCAAACTCGGTCTTTCTGTGGAACAGTTAGTGAACTAACAATACATTTCACTCTTAAATATTGATATTCCACTCAAAGTTTGGTTGGTTGCTAAAGTTAAGGATAAACATGCAGAAAAATGGGAAGACAGCAAGACTGGCCAAACATGGCTGATTCAGTAGCAAATCTAGACATTAAATCACAATGGCTTATGAGTCAACTTACTCGAATCTATGTTCAAGATAGTCTTAGACTAATTTTAGGAAAATAAGAGTCATTCAGCCATGCAAAAAAGACTGTCTCCAGTGACATTCCGACTCCAGTGAATCTTCTCATTTCTTCAGGACCTGGAGCTAACAGGCAGGGCTTTCTTGAGCTCTGCTGTGAAGCCTGTACTGTGTACTTTGCAAATGGCATTATTCCCACCAGCTCTGCCAAAGTAAGTTCTGAACATTCTGTAGGTGAAACAATTTCAGAAAAAAAAAAAAAAAAAAGAACTATATATTTGTTGCATGTTTCTTTCCTCTTTTATCACAAAAAAGTTGAATAATTTTAACTATTAGAAGAAATATCCTCTGAAAGTCCCTAAACAAAATAGTAACGGCTTAGTTCACGGCATGGATTTAAATATGGCACAAAGCTGATGGCTACATAGTGCACAAAGTAAAATGGAACTGGAAAGGAGAACACTACCCAAGTAGGAGTTAAAGGACATGCTCAAACCCTCAGTCATATTTTGATGGTCAGTCATTTGGGTAATGTTAACCATGATATTACAATGGTGAATTATAACCGCTGAGTCCTTATGTGCAGTCATGTGCTTTTCATACTCATGTCATCTAGTTCATTCTCTCATCAGTCCTCTGAGGTATGTACAATTGTTATCCTCATTTTTAGATGTGTGGAAATTAAGGCTGATCAGTGTCCAGGAAACAAACTAGGGCAAGGAATCAGTAGAGTCAGATGCTCACAGGCATCCCTTCAGCTTATAGCTAGAGAAATACAGATGTATAATGAAGGAAATTAGAAAATTGTGCTCCCAATATGGCATTTTGACATGCTAGCCTGACTGGAGAAAGCTCAAGCTCTCTCTGACCTACCCCAGTGGATTCTCTCTGCCAAAATTGTTAACAGTTTCTCCATCTGCTGGAGATCCAGACTCATCTCTTTTCCTCTGTTCCCATAAGACCAGGAACGTGACCACACCTGCACAGACTCAGACTTGTTTAATTCAAAGGGAACTATTTACACCTTAATCTTTGTTCCCCATCTGTTTGTCCTCCCTAGTAATCCTTGAGTGCCTCTAAACAGAATTTTTTTTCTTTCTCTCCCATAACCCATTTTACCAAAAAAATTATAATAAGCTTCTGAACCCTGTTGGAGAGTTGAATCTTCATCTTGTGAGAGTTCTCATTGCATACACATTAAAATAAATTTGATAAGTTTGATATCAGAAAAATATATATATTCTGATAAGAAAAATCGTTTATAGAATGCGTTTTAAATCCCAGGATATTTAGATGTTATTCTTCATCAGCTCTTAAAAAATGAACTTCCTTTAATTATTTCCTGTAACTAATACTTCATCCTTAGGAATTATGAAACAGATGAATTACAAGTGAAAGTCTAAACTGATCAATAAGTCTGTAAAGACATAAATATCTTGGTATTTATAGAGAGTTTTGACCTCAGGCCCCAGGAAATTGTAATTTTTGTGCTTTTATATACCCATTTGTTGGCAATGGCAACACAAATTTAAGAAGCCAAGGTGAAGAATTTTACCAATAATTAAGCTGTGTTAGTCCCAGATCTTTTTTCTTTACTGAGTTCTCCATGCAAGATTTTTTACATTGCAAAGAAGCATGGTATTTATTAAAAAAGATTATTTATGATATCCATTTGAGGTCAGATTCTTGATGCTTCTGGGAACAAGCTCAACTTACAGCAAGAATCAGCTCAGTAGATCGACAATGCTGATGATAACTTTTAAAAGAACAAAGCAATTTTTTGTCATTGAATTTCATTTCTATAGTGCTATCTTATATATAACCACAAAATTTCTTAAAAGAATGGGTGATAAATTCAAGCTTAAACTTTCAGGATCCAATTCGAATGTAAATCCTTTTGAAGCTTTCTCAGGAAAACCTATTACTTGGGTCTCTGGTGAGGTATGTTTCTGAAACAATCTTTCACTAGTCAGTAAGTTATCACAAATCTTTCCTTATAATGTTATGTGTCTATAGATATATGTGCTCTCTGATGTACACCACAGTTCATCCAAATAGTTCAGAAACTGTTATAAGTATTAGTTTATTATTCAACAGAACATATCTAAAAGTTGTATGTATCACGTATACTATTTCCAATTTTGTTGTTAAAAAAATCCAGAGAAAGCACAGCTTAAAAGCTTCTGTATGTTACAGCTAACTTTTTTCTGGGTTGGAAAATTTTAGGTTAGGCTACTCGAAACGCCTTTGGAAATCTGGGACAATAGAAGGATGATAAACTATACAACGTCTTTGTCCAAAGATCCCACATCTCTCAACTATTCATGTCTCATTTTGATACATATAAAAATTTCTTATCTACAGTAGATTCCAATAATTCCACTTCCCATTCATCCTACCATAGAGAAACACTGCATTGGCACCAGCCTGTTTTGCCATGCTTCCTTCTCCACAATTTGTGCTATAAAATAAATTAATTTTTTAAATGCTCCAAGTATGAAATTATAATGAAGCATATACTCTTTCAAAAGATATTCACTTGCCTTTTCCCACACACATCCTGTCCCATCCTCATCATGATAAAACCTATGCTTCCTCTGCTGACTTCTCAAGTGAGAGCCTCTACTCAGCAAATCAAGCAAGCCTAGGCTGTTGGCCAATGGCCTCAAATGACTTTCCTTAGGGAAAGTAGAGGGCCAAGCCAAGTACCTGGACCTCCAGATTAGAGACACCAAGTTAGAGCTTCCTCCAGATGTAAAAAGATCCTTTTATGTCTGGTACCATGAATGGCAGGCTAGTTAACACCTTTCTCAAAGAGGGTAGAGAGCTTGATCACTCAACCCCTCTTAATAAAAGAATAGTGGCTAAAAGAGATGATTTGAAACTCCCGAGGGAAGAGTTTGAGAAATGGGAGAGACTATCTGAAAGCAGAGCTGGCTCATTTGCACGAAATAGAGAATGGAGACTATGGGTGTGGCTAGAGCAAACCTGGCAAGCACTTTTTAAGAACTTGAACTCTCTGTAATCCACCCTTCACTTATTTTTCCTTTTCATTGTATGTGTGTTATGTTAAAAGTATTTTAAACATGAAACTTGGGGTGCAGGCAGAAGGTGAGTTTGAAAACATTCTTTTACTTCACCATCAGCTGGAAGAAGAGAGCTCAAAAGGGGAAGATAAGCGTTCGTAGTTACTGGAACCAAGAAACCTCCTGACCTTCAATGTAAGAGATATCTGGATTCCCCCAAATCTTTAGTTTTTACTAGAAATTCAGGGATTCATTGGAAATGCAGAAATAGTGCAGGTGAAAATTTGTGAATCCATATTGACTGAGTAGAACTAGCTACTTATTCAATTATTCAAAGGTATATACTAGTCCAAGAGTACACTAAGGATGTTGTCAAAATATAATTTTCCAAAATGACTCTTACATAAATCAGCAAGGGAATCAGCAGTATGGCGAATGATTCAAAGAGAATTTAAGACACAATAGATGTAGGCACTAAAAAAGTGCTAGACAAAGACTATTAGGTTAGTTATAAAACTTCCTACCAGGTATTAAACTAAACTATAATCTTTAGATTTATCTATTCTGCAGACATCAATCACTTGTTCTTTTTTTGTTTTTGGAGACAGTCTCACTTTGTCTCCCTCAGTAGAGTGCTGTGGTGTCATAGCCCACAGCAATCTCCAGCTCTTGGGCTTAGGTGATTCTCTTGCCTCAGCCTCCCAAGTGGCTAGGACTACAGGCGCCTGCCACAACATGCAGCTATTTTTTTGTTGCAGTTTGGCCAGGGCCATGTTCGAACCTGCCACCCTCAGTTTATAGCCGGCACAGTGCTCACTAAGCAACAGGCGCTGCCCTAATCACTTGTATCTTTAAGAGATAAGCATCTATAGGATTTCATATGTAACTTTGGAGATTGACCTTAATCAATAGTAAATAGTAAAATAAACCAAGGCACAAATAATATTATAAAGAATAAAATAATTTAAAGTGACCCTGATGGATAGTATCACAGCATGTGTGACATGCAATCAACATAGAATTTTGATTCTAACTTTTTATTGACTTTCTGTTCACAAAGTCTAATCATAAAAATCTTCCCATTTCTTGAGCTCCTATCTACCATGTGCTAGGTACTGTGCTGAGTGTCCTACATACTATATCTTATTATTTAATCCTTTCAACATTTCTAGAGCATGGTTATGATCTCCATTATACAGAAGAAGAGCCCAAAGTTTTGCTTGCTTTAGGCCCTGCAGTGAATAAATGACAGAGCCAGATTTGCACTAGTCACGTGTGTTCCAACAGCCTCTCCAGCTGCACAAAACATGGCTGTGCAGCTCGCCCACTGAACAGGGGCACCAGGTTGAAGGAACAGCCCACACTCCACTTGCCAAACATTTTGCTTAATGTGCCTTTTTCTTCTCATCAAATACCTGCTCCTAGTAAGCTTAGTGCCATGGAGCAAATCTATATAAAGCCGCAGGGGCTGCAAGTGCCCAGGGGTGTCACGTTTCACTACTGTATTTCCTTCTCC